TAAATACCCGAATATACAAAATGCACTACACACGGTTACAAAACCATTAACAATTTAAAGCGTTTATTCAAATCTACCACCGTCCATATCTCCCGCATTTTTCCAACTGCATCTATCATACCCATAGACCAACCATACGGCGCAGCAAACGTGCAGGACATCGACAAAATGACTTAAATGTGATAGAGGCTGTTTTAAATTTAGTCGAGGAGCAGCCTACTATTTCTACAAGAACAATTTCAAGACGACTGGAGATCCGCGCAATATCCGCAAACCAAAGTTTGCGGATATTGCGCGAGAATTCGCTCAACCCGTACCATTTTCAAAAAGTTCAAGCTTTAGAACCAGCTGATTTCCCCAATCGTCTTGAATTTTGCAGTTGCAGCTAAATCGAAGTGCAGCAGACGCTAACTTTATTTTTATTTTTAAAACAAAGTGCGCTGGACGGATGAACGCTGTTTTCCCCGTGCTGACATTTTAAACAGGTAAAAAAAACATATTACTTTCTCAAAAACAATAAGTACCTACCACCTAGGTTACACCAAAGTTTATATTTACATTAAAGTTTACATTTATTATGTAAGCTTTGGTTATACGCAACTGCATCTTGAATAATAAATTGAAATACTAAAACTGTGTATTATTTAACATAATAAATTATAAAACGTTAAAACGTTAATAATATTAAAAATGATAAATTGTAATAACCGTACATTGNCTGCATATTGAATAATAAATTGAAATACTAAAACTGTGTATTATTTAACATAATAAATTATAAAACGTTAAAACGTTAATAATATTAAAAATGATAAATTGTAATAACCGTACATTGGAAAACAATCATCCCGATTCATTACATTTCCCTTTGTTAAAAGACCGACAACTTTTTGTTCCGTTTACTAGCTATAAAGATAAAAACTTTTTACAGCCATTTAAACATTTAATTTGTTGATAACAATTAAACTCACCACTTTCAGGCTTACAAGTTTTTTGGATTCAGGAGTTCAAAATACTACGAATAAGTTGTTTGCATCCGTGGCACTCTGTTGGCCACGGCACCCTATCTGGCTGCTAGACTATGTACACGTGCAAATTAAAAGTGGGTCAAATAAAAAGTTTATTGACCCTAGATACAGGTTATCCTAGGTCGGAAACACGTACCGAGTTGTTTATTTGTCTCCGTCCGATTGTTTTTTTATTTTCTATTACTTACAGTCAATATTTAAATACTACATACATTTCACCCTCTCTTTATAATTTATCTAGTGAGTATTGGGTTTTTATGTCATTATTTCTGTAATGAAATTGGAATTATTGTATGGCGATCGTTTAATAGGGCCGCATTTTCTACCTGAACATCTGGATGGGCCGCGTTACTTTCAATTTTAGTAGAATTGTTTGAAAACCTTCCCCTTCAGATGTTACTGGATATGTGGTATATGCACGACGGAGATCCGGCCCATTTTGCTCGCGATGTCCGTTGATTTTTAGACGATCAATGTCCCAATCGGTGGATAGGGAGATGAGGGCCCATAATCCTATGGACTTTTGTATTTGGAGTTATATGAAATCTGTCGTGTATCACACCGATGTAGAGAATGTAGAATGTTGCGGAATCGTATCGAAGATGCCGCTGAAGAAATACGTAACAAACCTGGTTTATTCCATCGCATCCGCTGCTCATCTATCCAACGTGTACACTTGTGCATAGACGGTAATAGTAAGGGTAATTTATTTGAACATTTGCCCGAAGGCTTACAGAAAATTAAAAAATTAACATTATGTTAATAAAAACTGATTTTTGGCAAGGCATGCTCAGACCTCCTCGAGGTTCTTGCTAGGCAACAGTAACAATTTAATGTGTTGATTGCATAATTATAAAAAATAATTTATAGAATTTTAAATTATTATTGGCTGACGTGAGCAAACCGTTTATTTATTGTCTTTATATGTGCGATAAATATATATATGGCAACGTTGCATCTAGGGCGCGTTGTTCATATCGTAGCCGTGCGCAAATTCTGAACAAGCGACTGACGTCAGCCGGTGAGTAACAGCTTGAAAAGGGGGTTAAATAATGATTTGAAAATATTTTTTTCTGTTTAAATATGCATTTAATTTTATTTTAATCACGCCATCGTATTATACTAATTTTTCTCTATCTGCTCTTAAAATTAATGACATTATGACTAAATCACCCTGTATATATATTCAGTGTGGCTACGATTTAGGTGACACAGGCCTATAATTCAGGTGTTAATTGACGAATCCATTTCAAATTTTAACCACTTATGCAGACCAATGGGGTGGACATTTGAGGATCATTAAACTTACATATATCCATAGGTGTGCGTTAGGGGAATTAGAAGGGGATTGATTTTTCGATATTTTTTATTAGCAAATAAAATACGGAAATGCTGATGCCTTAGTCTTAATCAGTATCATCGAAAATATACCCATGTCAAGTTTCATCCAAATCGTATACAGGGTTGTACAGAAAATTCATTTAATACAAATGTAAATAAGCTAATACAGACTGGATAACAAAAAAAAAATAAGTATAACAAAACTCAGTTTATTTTCTTAGTTTCAATGTAGCCGCTCTCTCTCCTTATACATTCTTCTGTTACCTTTCTTATATGACAAATTAATTTTCGCAGCTGTTCACAAGAAATGTTTCGGCATGCCTCTCTTATTCGTCGTTTTAAATCTTCTATGTTTTGTGGACGATTGGTGTATACTTTATTTTTAACTGTACCCCAAAAATAAAAATCCATTGGTGTAAGATCAGGATACCTGGCTGGCCAGTCCTGCAGCGGGCTACGAGGCCCTATCCACTTTAACGGAAAATTAGTATTCAGCCATTTTCTAATTATTCGCGAACTATGTGCAGGAGCACCGTCTAACATAAAATATAAATTATGTCTAGCATCTAGCGGCAGATTGTCTAAAACATCAGTAAATTCCGTTTCCAAAAGACGTAAATAATTTTGGGCATTTAAAGTTTCTATGAAAAAGGGTCCGATAATTCGATCATTAAAAATCGCGCACCAAACATTCACTTTATAAACATACTGATTCTTAGCATTATTATCCACCTGGGATTGGCTGTTTCCCAATATCGAGAGTTCTGCGTCGATACAACACCATTTGTAGAAAAAGTAGCTTCATCGCTAAAAATTATTTTTTTCAACAAATTTCTGTCGTTCAGAAATTCGCCTTGCACCCAGAAATCATAGTCTAGCCTCCTTAAATCGTCTCTTTCTAAAAGAGTGTGTAAAATTTTTGGTTTAAAGGGCTTCAATTTATTCTTTTTTAGACATTTTCTTATGGTCTCTTTGTTTAAATTCAAATTCAATGCCGCATGTCGTATGCTTAGTCGTGGATTATTTCGGAAAGCATCTAAAATCCTATTTTCGTGTAAGTTTGCTCGTCGGTATTCTTTTGGTCTTACATGTGATACACTACCAGTCTGATTAAATATTTTATTAATTCGTGCTACTGTACTGTAACTTACTGTTCGATTGGGATGGCGGTGATTAAAAATTCTTGCAGCTTCACGCGATGTAACAGTTTCTCCAGAAATTCTTATTATTTCAATTTTGTCAGTAACAGATATAATTTCTGCCATCACTGATGTTTTTTCGCAATAAATTATTTTTAAACTCGGAATTTTAATAACAATCTTGTTGACGTGTTATGTCAAAATAACTAAAAATTATAAATGTCATTTCATTTAAACAAAATCATTTGACATGGATCTCTGGATTTTGCATTACTGTGTGAATACAATATGCAATGTTATTTTTTGTATTAAACGAATTTCCTGTACAACCCTGTATACGATTTGGATGAAACTTGCCGTGGGTATATTTTCGATGATACTGATTAAGACTAAGGCATCAGCATTTCCGTATTTTATTCGCTAATAAAAAATACCGAAAAATCGATCCCCTTTTAATTTCCCCTAACGCACACCTATGGATATATGTAAGTTTAATGATCCTCAAATGTCCACCCCATTGGTCTGCATAAGTGGTTAAAATTTGAAAAGCATTCGTCAATTAACACCTGAGTTATAGGCCTGTGTCACCAAATCGTAGCCACACTGTATATATAAAGTTCGCCTCTATTTTTTTTTTAATTTTATTTGTCCCTATGTGCTTTAGGTATATCTTTAAGTTGAAACAAAACTGTTTTTGGAATATACTTTTTATGTAGGTATAAAAAGAAATATGAACTACATTTTAAATTATTATTCGACGAGAATAGATTGGTGTGATGCATATTATTTTTGGTAATGTAATTTCCTATTATATAAACAATATTTAAAAACATTTAATTTTATACCACAATTTTCTAATTTATAATTAACTAGCTTTTACCCGCGGCTTCGCTCGCAGAGTGATAGAAAATCTTTCGTAAAAAATATTTTTTTTTAATAAAAAGTATCCTATGTTACTTCTAATACCTCCAAGAATATGTGTACAAAGTTTCATGATGATCGGTTAAGTATTAAATAGTAGGGATAGTAGGGATTATTATTAGTAGGCTTCGCTCGCGGGTAAATAAACATAGAAAATCTTTCGTAAAAAATATTTTTTTTTAATAAAAAGTATCCTATGTTACTTCTAATACCTCCAAGACAAGAATATGTGTACAAAGTTTCATGATGATCGGTTAAGTAGTTTTCGCGTGAAAGCATAACAAACTTACATTCACATTTATAATATTAGTAGGGATAGTAGGGATAGTAGGGATTATTATTAGTAGGCTTCGCTCGCGGGTAAATAAACATAGAAAATCTTTCGTAAAAAATATTTTTTTTAATAAAAAGTATCCTATGTTACTTCTAATACCTCCAAGAATATGTGTACAAAGTTTCATGATGATCGGTTAAATAGTTTTCGCGTGAAAGCGTAACAAACAAACTTACATTCACATTTATAATATTAGTAGGGATTAATTTAAAAAATATTGTAATTCTTGATACGTACCTAAAACAGATACCCTAAATGTACAGGTGGCGGTATTTCCCACTTCATCAAAGGCGATGTATACAATTTGATAAACGCCCCATAAAAGTGTTTGACCTGATCGATGTCCATTTTTTTCTTGTACTCTAACAACACCAACATTGTCTGTAAAAACGGGTTCATCCCAAGCTACTAAGGCAGAACCATTTTTTGTTATTATCCATAAATCACCCGGACAATATTCTACTTGTGGCGGTATTTTGTCTACTTCCAATTCTTGACAATTTGTTCCCTTGTAGCCTAGGAGACAATTCCTTTGTCCACATTGTGATGGTACAATTCTTTCAACCCCACCAATTGTATCTTCGTATCCAGTCCAAGTTAATATCAGACCGCGATATAATACTGGTTCAGAACGACAATCTCTTACTTGTTTTTGGATTTCATTAGTGACATCCAATGCTCGTCCCCATATTTGAACTTTTGTAAGGTGGCCTTGGAAACCAGATTCTGTATATGCTTTAGGATTTCCTGATTGGGGTTTGCCGAGGGTTACCCATGCACTGAAATATTAAATTTTATAATATATTCATATATCCAAGATATAAATACAATATTTAATTGTATTTTTATTTTTTTTAACAATATTTTATTATATTAATATAAATAAATAATTAATTTCTAATATCCAGGTGTAAACAGTTTTAATTTTCTGTGAAAATGATATACAAAAGAATTTTATATTTTAATTTATTTCAATTAAGTAAAACCCCAATAACACATAATACCCATTTACAAATTTTTTATTTGTGGTAGTTTTTTAATTCTTTTTAAATCAATTGAGTATTTCTTCGTCATTGAGAAAAAAGAAATTTTAAATAAATAATCTCTTCAGTTCCACTATTTAAGCTGTGTACGGAATGTAAATGAAAGTATATATCTTTATTTGTCAAATAAAGGAATTTTTAAAACAACTATAAAGTTATTTTTGAATGCTTCTAATTCAGTTATGTCCAAGTACATTTGATAATCTAATTTGATAAACTAATAAATTGGTATGTAGATTTTCATCTTTTCCTCTAAGTATCAGATTTTAAGATTTCAGTTCCAAGCGAGCAGCGAACTGTGCGGACGTGTTTTGTGCAGTAGAACAGCAAGTGCCTAGGGCGCGAGGAGCAGTGAAGTGGAGGCCCCACAAAAAATTGCCTGTTATATTAAGGCTACCTGAAAAGAATTCTTATCTTTTTTCATTATTAATAACTGACGTAATATCAGCTTAGGCATAGAGCCATTTATGTTAAAGGTATCAGTGTTCGGGAGAAGGGCACTATCTCCAGGTTAACGGCGCCTATGGAAGACAGGATGGGGATTCAAAACTAGGGAACAACAGCTCACGAAGGAAAACGCGAGACTAAAAGAGATGGTCCAAGAGCTCAGAAATGAGCTACGAGACCAGCACCGGAGAAAAGGGTAGCGAAGAAGATTGTACTAACGGTATCCCAGGGGAGCGAACACGTTACCGGCAAATACAAGGTCACGCCCATCATTTGCGCAAAAAGGATCAATGGACTGTTGTAAGAGGATAGACGACAAACGCATTAAAGACACCAGGACCAGGTTAACGGGGGAGGGCATCGCCATCTACCCGCAAACGCCCAACGGTTACTGGCGCGGTGAGGGGAAGGAGTACCATACCTTCTCTCTGCCCAAAGAGAGGAAGCTGAGGGCAGTTATCAGAAGACTGCCAGGCAGGATCCCCGAACAAGAGATCCAGTCTGATCTAACCGAACAAGATTTTAATGTTACCTCCGTTTTCAGGATGACCAGCAAGAGGACGAAAGCCCCGATGTCCCTAGTACTAGTCCAGATCCCCCAGGACCAGGAGGACATCTTCAAAGTCACCTGTCATTTGAAGGTCAAATCCAATTTTTTAAATAGAAACATCTATTTTTGACCCCGGATTTTTACGTTTAGATAGGCACTTAAAGCTCTTCTTTGGAATGACCTTTAAAGGTTATTTCAAAGACAAAGTATTTTAAATTATGCACCTGAATATCTCATCAGGGGAGTCACTAATCTGAAAAAAACCTTTCAAAAGTTGTTGGGTTCGGAGGCGGACATCGAATGGTATCCTTCAATTTGATATTGATCTTGACTTTCAAGGTCATTTGAAGGTCAACTCTATTTTTTTAATTAAAAATAAAAAAGTCAATTGTTCGGTTAAAGTAATATGGTAAGGGTGTAGTCTATGGTGCCGTAGAATTCTTTGAGCCATTGATCTTGGGATGCTTAATTAAGCCTCAATTTCTTGAAGAGAAATATGCGGGATAATAGCAACCTTAGCCAACACGGCAAGAACTCGTGCATCGTCTAGTTCAATTATCATAATACGACGACGTCGCCTTACAAGTTGCTTACCATATTACTTTAACCCAAGAATTGATTTTTTTATTTTTAATTAAAAACAAAATTAGATTTGACCTTCAAATGACCTTGAAGGTCAAGATCAAGGTCAAATCGAAGGACACCATCCGATATGCCCCCCTTCGAACCCAATGACTTTTGTAAGGGTTATTTTGGGATTGGTGGATCTCCTGACGAGATATTTAGGTGCGTAATTTAAAATGGGACATATACCGGGTGGGGCATTTATCTTGATACGAAATAATATCTCGGTTGGACTCGATTGTTTCGAAAAAAGTTTCAGAATATTGTAAGACACCGAGGGGGCCATTGAAAGGCCCATATTACGACGTCCGGTCTAGACCGGAACTGGCGCTTTTAGACCGGAAGTTGATTTTTAAATGGAAACGCCCATTCTTGGGATTTCAATTGAAAAACGAAAAAAAAATACTTTTGTCCTTAAAATGGCCATAAAAAAAAACAAAAAAAAAAGCAAGAATCTTGAAACAACGGAGTACCTTGTTGGAATCACTTTTTTTAAAATGTTTTATACAAAGGTTGTAGGGTGAAAAGGGGGCTATATCGACATGACCTTGAAAATTACTTTGATCTTAACTTCAGGGTCTTTTGAAGATCAAATTCAAAATTTTATATGGGATCCTCTTTTTTGACCTCGGAAATTACAAGAGCGGGAAGTTTTACAATAAGATATGAACTTAACCTCAAGAACAAGATCAGACATCAAGGTCATTTTCAAAAAACTATATAATTATTAACTACCTTTAGCACTACCCAGGAATAACGACGTGGACGTAGTAGTTCTTTATTCCTTTCGGGGTGCTTGTTTTCGGTGAGTCCCCTCGCCTCTCACCAGCGCAGCGAGGTACTTGTTTTTGATTAGTCCCTTCGCCTCTCACAATTTGGTATGGTCGTCTTACCTGTTTCAAATAAACTTATTTCAATAAGTGCTCAAATTGGCAACCTTCATCTTCAATGCACTTATTGATCTGAACTTGAAAAGATTGTACACAACTGCGGAGGACATTAGGTGATATTTTGGCACAGGCATTTCGGATTCGTTATATTATGATTTCACGATATGTTTGCACTTCTTTGTAAACCACATTTGTTGTCTTAAATCTAAGGGTATGTCCTCAAGTAAAAGCGGGAGTTGGTCTTTCAAAAAATTACGAAATGTTTCGCCGTTCAAATTGCCTTCAATGAAGTATGGACCCACAATCTTGTCAACAACTATTCCACACCAAACGTTCACGGATCATTCACGTTGATGCTCAACTTTACGTAACTAATGTGGATTTTCAATATTCCAGTAGCGCATGTTATGCCTATTAACCGTGCCGTGGTTTTTGTAAAAGGGGACTCGTCTGAAAATAGTACTTTAGTAAAGAAATTATGATCTAATTCCATTTGTTGACGTGTTCACTGGCAAAAGATAACTCGGTTCTGAAAATCATCACCATGAAGTTCTTGGTGCAATGAAATGTGGTAGAGCTGATATTTATAACGGTTTAATATCCTGCTTACACTACGTCGCGAAATTCCAGATTCGCGTACGATTTGTCGAGTACTGACATGAGGGTCAACATTTACTGTAGCTAATACAACAATTTCATTGTCAGTTTCAGTAACTACGTTTCGTCGGGCCCTTTTTCTCTTACACACACTTCCCTCTTGCAGAAATTGTGTAACGACCCGATAAAAAGATACTCGAGATCGCACGTTGTTCGGAAAACATTCAACATAAAGTTGTGACGGCGCCATCAACATTTCTAGCACATTCACCATAAATAAGAATCATCTATATCTTTTCTTCCACATAAATAGCCTCCATTTTTAAAAGAAAGTTTTATAAAGACTTTGAAAAGATAAGCCAGATCTAAATCCCATGGATTATTTCGTTTTAGGATTTATTAAAGAAAGGGTGTATAGTTCACCAGTCTGTACTCTTAAAATGTTAAGAAGTAGAATTAAAAATAATTGTAAAACTCTTAAACACTACCCCAATATGATTAGGAGAGCAGTTCAAAGCTTATAGTCCACGGGCCCACGTATAAAGAAAAAAAATGATTACCAGCAAGCTGTAACTTTGCGTGCAGCTTAAGTTTGACGAGTCTCCCAAGATTTGACTACGAGGAAAATTCAACAGTGGTAAGTTTTCCCGTGATTTTCAGGAAAACATGTCAATCTGGCATAGACATGGAATGTTATGACCAGCACTTTTTTTTAGTTTAAATGAAAGATATATTCTTTTTAAACCCCCCAAAACATTTGTCCGACAAAAATGTTGGGTATTTTAAGTTTGTCCCCCACCCCAAATATGTCGATTTGGTGACATTATGGTTGGTGACAACCAGCAAGCTGATTTTTCTGGGAGGGTTTGGTAATAAGATTTGAAATGAAAGTATCTTATTGTC